TATACTTTCCCTAGTTTAACTGTGGAGAATTTTGATTTCTTATTATTTTAATTAATTTTATTTTGGTCTACACGTTTAAAAAAATTGTCGATTTTATTCTCATTATTAATTCACTATCTGATTTTTAACATATATGGTGAATTGATGATGATATAATACTAATGTCAAAAAAAATTTAGTTGGATCATTTTTAGTAGTGTTATCTAGACGAGTTATTCAATCTAAACTGTTCAACACACTTAAGTTTGAAAAGTAGGCGAGTTGTTTTTTTACAAACCGCAATTTGTTTTTTACAAGTTAGTTTAAATTAACCTATTTTATTTCTTCTTTAACATAAATTTATATACTTCTTATAAAAAAAACAAGAATATCAAGTAAATAAATTTAATAACTTTCTCACAACTTGACTCAATCCATTTGACCCTTCATATCAAATTTTCCTTATTTTTTATCAGTCACAAACTAAAGAGTGTAACTTAATTAGTTTGACTTAATCTAACCCAATAAATTATTGGGACATACCAATGTTGAGTGCTCTAATTTTTAAGAGAAGATATATTTTATTTTTTATTTGTAATTATTTTATAAAATGTTATTCTCTTCAACTCTAAATAATAATAATAAAATAACACACAAGATTTGCATATTAAATAATTTTTTAGTTTCTTTTAACTAGGTCGTAATCTTCTTTTTCATATTTTTTTGTAACTAGCATTATGAACATAAGTTAACCGTTTGTGAATAAACGATTGCCCCAATGACTTCATTAAAAAATAATAAATCAAATACTCGATTACAAATTTTTATAATTTAGAAACTTAAAAAAACCTAAACTTAAAGACCGACTAATTAAAAAAAATTATATATATTTTTATTTAATAAATAAAAATATCTTCAAAAATAGATTGAATTAAATTGATATTTAATTAATGATTATAATTTAAGAAAATAGTACAAGAATAATGAAGAAAAGTTTTTACACTATTGGTCTTTCAAACGCTGTTATATCATCTTGTTGGCTATTACAATACTTATAAGTCATTTCTAATATGATATGTTATTGGTTATATAATTATATAATTATATAATTATATAATTATATAATTATATATATATATATGTACATTATATCACCAACATCGAAGTACTAAAATTTTATTTTTGACGTACACAACACAAGCAACATTAGCCAGTAATTTTGTTTCATTTATGATTGAGCCTGAACACGGGCTGTGTATAATCTCACTTACATCTTCCAACCATAACAAGGTCATGATATATACACCTCCTCTTCTTGTAAGTACACCTTCTTTATATATTTTTTTAAATTATAAAATATTGTAGTTTTTTTTTTAAATCTTCTATTTTTACATCTTTAATTTTCAATTTGTTACTTTCTTTTTCTTTTTCACACATTTTTTTTTTCTTTTAGTTTTCACATGTTACCAAAATAGGTAGGGTAAATAAAAGATAAGGGGGTGCATGTAAAAATTGAAAAAAAAGAGGAAAGATGTGTGAAAAAAAAACTAAATTAAATGTTATGGATGTAAAATTAAAAAATTAAAAATTAAAAATTAAAAAATTAAGAATATTTTAGAATTTTAATTTTTTTAAAAAAAGAGGTGTACTTATAAAAAACAAAAAAGGAGGTGTATATATCATGAACCCCGTAACAAATATTTGTCCCACAAGATAATAAAACAGTAGTGGGCTTACATGGACCCCCCAAAAAAATAGTTTGTTTAATCAAGAAAGGGATGAAGTGAAATTGTAAGGGCCTTTTATTTATTTTTTATTTAATTTGGATTCATGATTTTGATTTCTCATTATTTTTAAAATTAATATATTTAATCTCGCATCTATTTTCTTTCTATTCTAGACCCTCAAATTATTTTCTATTTAAATTTAGAGGGTTTATAATGAATTTGATTTATGAAATAATTTTGAAACTTTGGAAGTAAATTTTTTTCATTAGAAACTTGATAAAATTAAAAAGATTGATGAGATTTAAGATCATGTGGGAAATTTTACTATATTTATTATTTTTGGTTAAATTTATGTTGTTTTGTTGGCCTTTGATAGAAAACATTTCTGAACATTATGAGTTAAAAATAAGACTCCAACTATTTTAAGTGTAAGAAAATTGATAAGAGATCAAATTTGTTCAATGTTAAAATTAAAGAACCGAAATCACACGTGGTCTAAATTAAAGAGACTGAATTTACAATTAAGTCAAATGTAAATAATAATAATAATAAGTTTTATGACATTTGGGTAAGTATTCTAATTTTAATCCATACATTCTCTTTTTCAGTTCCTATATATTAAATTCTTTCTAAAATAATACACATGTTACGACTTAAAAACGTTATAATTTAATACTGTTAGATTTATAAGTATTTACAAATATTAATGTCCAACCCTTTTGCATACGGTATGGACTGACGATGGTGTAATAAAGAAGTAATAACGATTAATCTTGATCTTTGGACGCGAAGGATGACGATTTGTTGTTGCAACTACCTCAAATGGTTTGAGAATTGGATGATGTTAGGGATCAATGAAATTTCGAAATCGTCCCCAGGATTTGTATGATGACATGCACTGATTGATATAAATTACTATGTAGACAGTTTCTAGTTTTGGCTGAGATTAAAATGGAAACGTGGTTGGAGCATATATATCCTAATCGATGTTGTCAAGTTTGACGGGTGTTTGCTTTGTTGGTTGGATATGGTCATCACCCAAAAGACCTCTCAATCATTGAAGTATGTTTGTATTATATAAGTTGTTATTTGTTGTGTTAATTTATCGATGTGAGACTTGTTTGTATCTCAATAATTACTAAGATTTAGGGGTGTGAGGTGACTCTTCTTTTGTCTGTGACTAAATGCCATCTGGGTTTTTGGATTCTCATATTGATGTTTGAATCAGCATGTGCATAACGTGTGTCGTGAGGCTGGTGGACGTAAAGACACAACATAGATGTAGTGTGTCCTCGAAAATATATGTTGGGTTCAATGTGACTCATTTTTTATTATTTAAATTTATGAATATAGTTGCTTTGTCATTTAAAATATTATAATTTATGAAAATTCATTTTAAAATACTTGAACGCAAAATTAAACATATTAATAATCTTTATTTATAAATAATTAATTTCGTCACAAAAAATATTCTTTAGAAAAATATAGTGATAATTTAAGTCCATCACATTAAAGAATGTTACATGATCCATCTTAACTTTAAGCCTAAGATATATACACATACTTTTGTGGTTAGGATTTAGTTTAATCTTAATATTATTTTCTTATATTTTAATAGTTGATCTATACATTTAAGAGTTATTTGTCTCGTTTATATTTAAAAATTGGCTCAACCTTAACAACATATATACAATTTAAGAATTGAACAATAAGGTTAATAAATATAATCGATCACTCAAGTTATTTAGATATGTACAAACTTGAACTATTTCAGACTATGATAATTGATTATTTATTTATCTTCTCACTTTATTTATTTATGAAAATCAAATTAAGGAAGGTTACATCAACTTATACACCTAACTCAACCAAGTTAATTCCTTTTCTAAATCAAGCTTGGAAATGCCCGTCAAATAACATATTAATATTGATGGCATGGTGTCCTCATCCTCGCATGAGTTTAATGTGGTCTTAACGTACATGAACCAATAATAAATAACGAACATTTCACCTAAAACTAGTTGTAAAACCAATACTCGGTTCCTTGTATTTTGGACAAAAAGCGTCACTTGCGTGAGAGCTAAAGAAATTAGCCAAATAGAATTGTGTTTGTCAATATTTTCTATACAATTACTATTGAGGAGAGATACAATGAATTTTGAAATGAACGAATAAAGAATGATCTAATTGTCCCACCAACAACGTGCCCTTCCTATACAACTCTCCCATCACAAAAATTAAGAATGTTCATCTTTTCATCTTAAGCTAATCAAGTTGCATGCTCCCACGAGTAACAACCGTGCAGGAAAAAGGAACACTATAAACAATTGCATGTGTTGGGACGCAACAAGACTACTGAACCTATTCAATGACTCTCTACTTATCTGAATGATGCCAGAGAATGGAGACTGCTCTTGATGAATCATGTTAACAGACATCACGGACCTCCCAACAACCATGCCCGCATCATTTCCACGTGGCGCCACCAGAGGCCACCACACCTTTCGCCTTTGATCTCTCCTTGCCTTGCGAATCTGGTTAAGTTCTTGGCGAATCACGGTTCTCACAGATTTTAAGTATGAATTCATGTCATGATCTCTTTGAATGGTTCCTCCAGAACCATAGGCAGATCGGTCACTTAATATCTCAAGTGGGTGTGGTGTGTTCAAGAACACCATTTGAGCTGCGTAAATATGTTCTTTTGTCGTGTCATTAGATTCTGAGAAAGGACCACTCAAAAGATATAGACCACTGCCTGAGGGCAGAAGATGATGACTTGGCGAAAAATTCTCATCTGGCTGTAGAATCAGCAGTTCACCCATTGGTGCATATAACAGTTTCTGCAGTAAAAAGATTCACCAAGAATTGAATGATGCTAAAACTACAAAGAAATTGTTACATGCAAATTTATTTTAACATCTAATATTAAGAGTATCTACTAATAATAATTTAAATTCGTTTTACATTGTCATTAAATCATAAAATATTATATATAACAAGTTTGTTGATTTTTATAATAAATATCTTAAAAATCATACTAATAATGATTTCTAATTAATTGATCATGTAAAAATTACTGCATTAATAGAAAATAACTGTTAAATTCATGATATAATGTGTTGATAGCGTGATATAAATTAAATTGATAAGCTTATTAAATAAGTGCTTAACTATGTTAATTAGAGATTACATGAGTGGTCTAAAAGTGGAAGCTTACCTGGTTATTAAGGCAAGGATGATTACGGAAGTTAAAATTAAGAGCCTTTAGTAGTTCGGCGATATGGTTAGGGTACTTGCAAGAAAATGCTCGTGGAACTATGTCTCTGTGCAATGTGATTGCCTGAACATGGCTCCGTGGCAATCCTAGCTTGTCAAGTAAACTATCACCTCCACACATGATGGATGGTGCGCCAAATGTTATCACGGGAAGCAGAGATGATAACGGTGCTTCACTCCTTATCAACAACATAAGATTCACAAGTAATGCCAAACTCCCCCCAAGAGAATGACCAGTGAAACGAAAAGTTGCACGGGAACCATGAGATTTTAGGTGAGCACGAACTTCTGGTAACATTTGCTGATATGTCCCTTTTGCAGCCTCGTATATACCTCTATGTACATGCACATCAAACCCCTAAGAAAAAACGTGTATCTTAATTATCCCAGTTTCAGTAAAGGATGAACATTAAAAAGATTTGAGTTTGTTTATAACTTTAAACAAAAAAATTATTTCCCTCTTTAATGAGAAAAAAAAAAAAACCTAGCTAATTAGCTTGCAATAATGCAATGTAACAGTTACCTCAAATTGAACTGGCTCAAATAGTAGGTTTGCTTGCCATGATGCAAAAGACTCGGAGCCCTGCAAATTAAACAATAATTATTTGGACACAACACATTACATATATATCCAAAATTGGCAGTGAATCGCATACAATGCAAGTGATCACACATTAGGAATAAATAAACATAACTAGTTATTGGTAATTAAAATAATCATGCTTTTAATGATCATATTTAAGTGTTCATGCATTAATACCATTTTATGAGAATACTGCAACTAAATGTACTTTATTGGACAAGATAAAAACAAATGTATCTAACTAATATGTCTCACCTGGATCACAAAGTATCTTGTAGAGGTCTGGTCATCATCACATACGAACCATTCACAAGGTGAAGATCTTGTTGAGTTCAAATCATCTGCAAAAGCCTGTTTTACTTCCTCATTTGCAGCAACTACTGCTGTAACTGAATTTGTAGTTGCCCGTAAAGCCGCCACATCCTTGTTTAACGTCTTATCATTGTCAAATCTTTCATTGCTTGTTTCAAGTGAACCTTCACCTTCGACAGCATCAGAAGATTTGAATGGAAGTATGTTCCTTGTCTGAGCATTGAGATATGATGCAGCAGAAACAACAATATCATATGCAGCAGATGCACTTGTCTTGCATCCACCATTGCTTTTCTCTTTTGTGTCTCTCTCATCCTTCTCATTTGTTTCTTCATTCTGTGTTGTGGTAGATGTCTGATTTTTTTCAGCTTCCATGACTAACTTCTTCTCTATGGACGAAGTTACAAAACGCAGACCACAGTTTTTTAAGAGGTTCCCTGGCTAAATAAACAAAGACAAGATATAGTATCACATACCATGCCCATTCCTTGCTAAACCAAATTCCTAGTTTTTTGATTACATAAATGCAAACATCAAATCTTAAATCAATGCATTTCCAAATTGGTGCCATTTTAAACCTTGAAGGGTTTTTGAAAAACAAACTTATACACCTAACAGTGACCTAAAAGAGATAGAATGTGCACAAAATTTCTATACATAATTGATGGAATCTTCAAAGAATGGGATTACAATATATTATTCAAAATTTAAAATCAGTTTCTGAATTTGATGCCAATTTAGCGATCAGATATATGATTCATTTTTGGTAAGACGTTGCATGTTTTAAAAAAAGTTAAGAAGGAAATAATGAAATAGAAGGTTTAAATATATACTTTGATTTTGGGAATAGAGTATGCCAAATTCCCCAAGTGGGATATGCGTGCATATAATCTGGCTTCGCGCAATGACACCCTTCGAAGCATTCTCGAAAACGAGTCTCTGTCAAACACAACCTCTTCATTTTCTTCATGATCATCATCATCATCATCATCATCAACCATGCAACCATCACACTCTTCCTCTTCATTAGCCACAACTTGTTCATCCTCTTCATCATGGTCATGGCTCTTGTGTTCCCCTCCCCAAACAGACCTTGTATGAAAAATCTTGAAAACCCAGTTCCCATTCTGACCCTCTTCTTCTCCTTCTGTTTCCGCTGTTCCATTTTCCGCCAAAACAACGTTATCAACGGCGAGACCGTTGTAGCCGGAGGCATTCCCCGCTGATTGATGTGGCCATAAAGACTTCAAAGGGAATCTAAAGGAGAATTTGGAAAACAAAGAAGAATGTCCCACCGCGTTAACCTGAGACTGTGAAACATAATCATTGGCACGTGCGGTTGTTGCAGTTATGGGAATGGAAGGAACTATCCCACGAATACTGGTTTGTAAACAGAGAGTATCCATTGTGTATTGTTATGGTTGTTATTATAATGGTTGTGTTGTGTGTTGGTTTGCAGAGAAAGAAGAAAGGAGAATGAGAGCAGGGAATGGTGGAACCCAAAGAATCTTCAGGTTCCTGTCTTCTTCGATTTGTGTTGAACAGAACAAAATCAAATCAAATCAAAGAAGAAAACGTAACCAAATGGCCAAATATAGGTAATGCTATTTGCTAATCTCAGACACGTTCCAATTTCGAACTATGCAAGGAAAGACCGACTTTTTGATTTAGAAAAAACAGATACTCATCCATGTTTCATTTATTCGCACGTGGCTTTTCTCGCAGCTACGTCGTTTTGTTCCTAAGTTGCGTGGCAAAAGCAAGGAGGTGCCACGTGGTGTAAAGCGCAGATGAACAATATGGTACAATCATTGAAATTCATGTTCCTATCATTTTGGACAGATTTTCACTCTCACGCACCTCGCCTATAGTATCTTACCTACTCGCTACAAATTAACACAGACACGCCACTGTTTCCTCAAGTCATACATTTCCATCAAAAAAATAATTATCTATGTAAGTTAAATCGTTTATTATAAATTATATAATTTATATTTTAAAATTGTACTTATTATAATTTTAATTATATAAAATAAATAATATTTATATTATATATTACACCTGCTAAAATGCTAAAATATTAATGAATATGAATGAAATACAAAAGCTTGAGGTCTAATTAAAACTAGTGATAAACTATATGGAAAGGGTATTGGAGTTTCAATTTTAAAAACTAGTGATAAACGTGTAATGTGGAAAATTAAAAGGCTAAAGTGGAGTTTCAATTTGTTTTTCATCAGAGGAAAATTTTTTAACATCTTATAAAATTTGATTTTTACTTATCATAGTTATTTATAAATTAAATTTAATATTTTAAAATAATTATTAATAACTAAAATAATATTATGTTATAATATAAATTATTTATCATAAATCTAAACTATAATTGATATGTTAAAATTATCTATTTATATAAAATATAAGTATAATTTATATATTCAAACATAATATTTATTTATTTATATAATTTAGTATAAATTTTAGTTATATATAATAAATATTTATTTTATCCAACACACATACTAAAATATTGGTAAAAAATTAAACAAGGCCTTATAAAAAAAATCAAAATAAAATTTTCAAAAGAATCCAATAAAGCTAGACATGTTCTAATCTTATGAGGTTCTAAAAGTTATAATACTTAATTATATGATGGTAAAATGGGCCTTGATTTATAGATTAGTCTATTAGTCTGCAAATAAAAGATGGATTAGGTTAGATATTTCTAGCTTGCTCGATCCATCTCATCTAACCTGACATACCAAATGACAGGCTAAATAGAGTTAGTCTGCTAGTCTACCTATTTGTTTTATATATTTTTAATATTAAACTTAAGTAATTTATTTTATTATATTATATGTGATTTAATATTTTTTGTGCAGCAAATATTTTGAAAGAACTACTACTATTATAATGATATATTTATTGTATAAGGAAACAAATTTGAAATTTGTTTGCAACAAATCTAATCAAATCTATTATAATTGATATTTATTTTATCATTTAACTGTATTAATTTATGTAAATCTTTTAAATATTGAAAATATATATTAAGAAAAGTACTTAAAATAAATATATTTTTGTTTTTTTTGGCAATCTGGTCTGTTGACTGCCAACCTATCCTGGCATCCTCAAATACGGAAGGTCAATGTATCTAACTTGTTTTCACTTAACAGATTAGTTGAACTTAACCCATTTATATTCTTATAAAAAATAAAATATTAATTAACAGAAACTAAATTAATTTTTAGATATAAATAGAAAGGATAATTTTTTTTATAATTTTTTTTATGAGTCTTAAATTAAAGGTTAGTTTATTTAAATATATTTTTTCAACATGATTGTAGTTAGCCTTTTGAGATCTCTATAATTATTTGCAATAAAAATATAATTATTATTTTAAATTAAAAATTTTCATGTAAATAAACTAATGATGTTTTGGATGTTAAATTGACCTATTTCAACTACACAAGTTATCAGTGATTAAAAACAAATATTATATAAATTTGAATGACTAAAATGATTTTTCTTTAAGAAATTAAAATCGAATAGAGTGAAGTTTTAGAGTGAAAACAATATTTAGCCCTTTAAATAATCATACTATTGAGAAAATAAAATTAAAATCATTCATTTTATAATTATCAAGGTTCTTATGAAGTTAGTTTATACAGTTAAGAAACACTGGTCAGAGTTTAATTTATGGTCGAAGCAAATTAATAGTCAACCTAAACATGACAGAGGCAGTGATTATCTTTGACTTTTAGTACACAGTACCAATATGCGCGCGTGGCGTTATCTTTACTGGTATGTGGTATGGTATCATGCTACCTCAGTGAAAAAAAAATCTTGCTATGCTTTTCTACAGCGTTTTTTTTTTTTTTTTTATAAATTTTTTTATTATCCTAATGTTCCTTTTATTTTGTTAAATTACATTCATTTTTTTAACGAGACATTTTATGTCTTTAGACGTTTTATTTAAAAATAATAGAAAATATAAAATATAAATTAAGTGAGATAATATATAATTAAAAAAAGAAAAATAATTTTAAATAAAATTAAAGAAAAAAGTGGTTACAAAATAAAAGTATAATCATTATTGAAAAAATGGATAATTATTTTTTTTCTTCTATTTTATCTTTAAAAGTATGATGGTAGAAAAAATAATATATAATAAAAAAAATATCTAAAAAATGTAAAAATCAAATAGAGGTATTGTATTTTCTTATATATATTATAGATAATATTCAATCCGCATCATTTTGTTTTTTTTACGATCCAAGTAAAAATTGATGATAAAAATTGACTGGTTTAATATTGGCCCATGTATGAATCAACCCACTCCATCCAATCCGAACTTGATTAACACCGCAATCCAAACGGTTTAATATAGGCCATATTATGTTCTACGTTTGGTGGATTGGGCTTTTTGGACCTAAATCAGCCCATACCCACCCTACTCACATCTAAATTCTAATTGAGGTTTAAGGTACTAAAGGGTCTTGTGAAACGTGTGACCCAGGCTCTCCCTTTAGCATCGACATTCGACATTTAAGTCTATTGCATTGTTAAGGTGACCATATTTGAGGTGGTGTTTGCTTTTGGAATGTCGGAAATTTGCAAAACAACAACGTTGCCAGAAACAAGAAAAATGAGCAAGCAAAACGGTAACATACAATCTTTTCCACCATGCCTTTATTACAAAAATATATTAATCGTCCACCAAAGAGGTGTAGGAATATGCCTTACATAAGATTGCAATGGCAATCAATCATGACACATGAATAAAATATACATTTCCTTGTCAACAAGGAAATACAAAACGATCATCTAATCTAAAACAAATAATTATTTGCAATGTCAGGTTTTACAACCAATAATCAACTCTCCATAAATTTGATTTATAGATAGTAATTGTACAAATTAACTATAACTTGTGATCGAGATTTATCTTCCATTTGTAAGATTTTGAATTTTTTTTTAACGAAATGTCTTTTATCACTCTTTTTTTTTAATGTTAAGTGATATTTTTCACATGAATGTAATTGGCTTTTTTTAAGTTTTTATTTTAATTTTTTTTTATGTATAAAAATAATTGTGAGAAGTAAATGTACTGCTTATCCTTGTTTGTATTTGAATAAGTAACTTAAATGCTTAGTAAATAAACATTTGGCGGTTTTATAATCAAATAAGAAACATGATTAAACTATTTTCATATAAATTATTTTACCAGTTCTCTCAAACGCTACAAATATTGATATCATAACTTTAAACAAATTATAAATAAACTCTTTCAAGCGCTCCCTTAACGTGTCTACTAGACTACAACGGTCGGTCTCTTTCTTTAGCTCTAACACGATCGATTTAGTAATCCCAGGTTTAACTTCGATCATTGATTTAAATCAATCATTAAAATACGTCTAATACGATAATAACAATATTATGAAGCCTTGATTAATAACAAACCACTCAATATCTAGGTGATGCACTCAGACAAACACAAGGCACGTGACCATCATAGTGAGCTTGCAATAATAAACAATAAACATATCGCTTGAGCATATCAGCCTTGAATATAGAAATGAAAGTTTTTATTGAAGGCAGGTAGCTCTCAACGGTTATGGTCCATATGCATTATTTTCAACGTTTCCGCAGCTACAAATGCATCAACTTCAGTAAGATAATCCTAAGTTTGACAGCATTATCAAAGAGACAGCACCTCATTAATCTCCGAGGATTAACTCATCATAAGTTAGTGTCAACTACCATTGAATGATGATCAAAAACACGAAGGAGACAAGCAATCTAGTCCAGTTCACAAGATGAACGATTTCAGACACGGTACAAAACAATGGAAGAATTCTTTTTCTTCAGCTAATGTCATTTTCCTTGTGTCAAAATAGCACCGTCAATAATACAATGAAATTAAGAGGACGGCAAAGATTACAAGATGCGCATCATTATGAACGGGAAAAGGCATCTATTTGTCAACTAACAAAAAGGGCATGGACAGAAAGCCCAAGGTATGCGTTTACTATAACCATCTAACCATGTTACATTGAGGACATAATGGGCGAAATAACATGTATCTTGTTTGTATTCTAACCAAGAATTGCTTTTATCTTTGTTTTCTGCTCCTCGGTTAGTGACGTGGGAAATAGAACCTCAAAAGTGACGTAAAGATCTCCTTTCTTGGTGCTCATATGCAATGGCATACCCTCCCCTTTGAACTTCCTCACCTGCTTTGGCTTTGTGATTTCCTAAGGGGTCAAAAGAAGTCAGTCAACTGTGTTCCTCACAAAAACACACATCAACACTAATTGAGATCTGATCTGAAGCAAGGATGATATTTTATACTCACCTTTGTGCTTATGTCGACAAGATGCTCATCTAGGTGTTTAATGGTCTTCTCAAAACCAACAAGGGCTTGAACCTGAAGAAGATTAAAGTTAATATTACAATGCCCGGAATTTTAAGGATGCCAATTGCCAATATCAGAGAGAGAAGTCGAACAGTAGTTACTACTTTCATCATGTCCAAAACAGCAAAGGTAAAGTAAAACTCAGGCATTTGAATATTTAATATATTTAACATGCATATCAACAAAAACAATACTTACCAGAGTTATAGTGACTGTAGTGTGCAAGTTATTGCCTTCTCTTCTGAAGAGTTCATGAGGTGCAGTACGGATACGAAACTGTTTAAGTATATTAATTGTCAGCACATTGCACACATAATAACATGCATACAGGAAGTGACGAGTTACTAACCCTTAAATCTCCAGATTCTCCATCAATTATGGGCTCACCATCCTCATAAAATAGCACCTCCTGTGAAAGGACAAAAACTTATAACTCCATAGGGCTTCAATTGTCTCAATTTTAAATTTGAAAAAATAAATATTCAGCCGGCTTCCTTCAATCACCATTCATGTACATCATTTAATTAAAACTAACACTTGTAGAGTAGAAAAGTGGAAAATAGTAGAGAAAATGGAGCGGTTTCTCTCATTAACAACAATGTCAATTGGTTCAAGTAAAATCCATGTAGTGGAAAGACAATGTGGTTGTTGGTGGTGTTTATCCCACCTTTCACTTTCTTCAACTTTCATTATACCAACGAGTTCCATGATATATAGCACTAAAAACTAGCAACAAATGCACCCACTAAATAACATGGAACCATTGATCATATTGATAGTCAGGATTATATGTACAAGGTGAGCGTAGATAGTTTCAAAACCAAAAATAACTTTAACATTTATGCATATGGCTATGGGTACAATTTAGTAAATATGTTTGATTTTTCTTCTTTATTTAGTGCAACAGAGACTATAATTGATGTATTGATTTTATAACATCTTAAAGTTAATAAATAAATTAAATGTACAAATAGGTATAATTTGTAAATTACAAGAACTTATCTTCAGTTTAAGTGAAACAAAACAGAGAATTTATTAAATCCTGTGCGCAATTCAAACTAAAGTGTTGAATTTTGAACAAGTTCCAATTCTAACAGAACTAAAATTGGAATTATAAAACAAAGCACTTTAACTTTACAATTTAGATGTAGAGTACAAGTTTAGATATATTTCAGTGTAGAGAGCTTTAACGAAAATGGGTAATAAGACATGATATCATGCATAAGATATAAACTTTAAAAGTTTACCTGTCCATCTTGCATGCCCTTTTCAATGTCAACAGTGATGAAATACCCCTCCCTCACGTATTTGACGTTGGGACATTGCTCACAGACCTGAACAGGTAAATTCAGAAATAGAAGTGAAAAATTCCACATATGAAAACAGGATTAAAAAAATAAAAACTGCACAATCCTCTACCCCAAACACACAAACAAGGAGGAAAGAAAAAGAAACTTTGAGCATGAGCAATAAGTAAACATTTCACAAACGTACAAGTAAATGTCATGAAGCATGGAATCTGTGTCTTTTTAAGAATAGACATCATTAGAAAATGACGAGAATCAGAAAAATTCAAAAATATGTATCCTATCAAAATTCTCAGACGTGCTGTTTACCTGCTCTGTCATCTGTTGGAACATGCCCGGCCCAATTTGCTTGTGATAAACCTCATTTCTACAGTTACAGCGTCTTTTCCCAGGTGCTGACTTTACTACATTCTTTTCCCTCCAAACCTGAAAATTACAATGCAATGGTCATAAAAAGAGAAAAATCACCAACTCAAATTCCATATTTCAAGTCACTGATGCATAAATTAGTCTTTGAATAACAGACCAAATTTCTCCACAAAATGATATCCATAGTAATAGTTTACAACTATTAACTATGCCTGAGTGCCTGATTAGTGGTTAAAGTGTTACCTCGATGAATATATTTAACTGTGTAATACAGATGATAAGTATCCAAGATAGGTCAGAGAAGGAATATCAGATCTCAAGTTTTAAATGAATACTAAATGCATGAGGCTGGGCTTGATTAAGTTCGGCTTCTCAGCTCCTAGAGTGCTTCTTCCTAGTTGTTTATCATCTCCTTCCTAATTCTTCTACTGAATAATGCAGCTAATAAGAGTGTACTTTGACATTACCATGTGTTACATGAAAACAAATTTGACAATCTTGAACCTATTCTGTGTCCATTTTATATCTTAGAATAAAATTTAGCTGAAATTCTAAAATGACACGTGGCAAGCTAACAACATCAGCAGATATATAAAATTAATGCACTTACTCAGAAATCAGAACAGGAACTAAATGTGGTCTCACCTTCAAGGAACCCCCCATGTACAAATCTTCAAGTGTTGCATCCAAATCAACAACCACGTCATCTCCTTTCACAATTTTCTCTTCTTCCTCCATTGATCCCCCACCAAAGAAACTAAACCAAACAATTATGTTTCAGCGTCATTTATTTAACAAAACTCAGAATCCCATGCTATAAAGCTTAGCACATAATTATAGCAGAATGAACACACGTCCAAAACACAGCTGTCTGCCTATTCATGGCTGTATAATCTAGCCCACAAATCAATGGCTAGATTGAGATTTGTGCCATAAATCAATAAAAACCATATAAATGTTCTGCTAAGAGTATTTTAGTACGATTGTATAGAAAATATGTTTAGCCTTCCTTAGTCGCCTCTTTTGACCCAATGCCTGTACTCTTAGTATTTTGATGCAATTCACATACTAATTCATGTACAAAGATGTCAAATAAAAAAAAACAGAAATTAGCACAAGAAAACCATGTCTCAATGGTGACAGATTAAGAACTAATCCAGCAAGAGCTAAAGTTAATACTTACGTGCTAAAAATATCTTGGAAGTTCATTCCACCACCTCTGCCTCCACCAGCAGCATGCTGTTTCAAACCCTCCTCGCCGTACCTGTCATAAATACCTCGCTTCTCGCTATCCGACAACACTTCATACGCTGGTAGTAATAACAATCAAAAGCAGCAACGACAAAAACCCTTTAAAAATTACCAACACAAACGGTAATAATATTATAATAGTCAATAAATCATGGACAGTTTGGATAAACTTCTTCCTGAACACTTGTAGATAACGAAGAGAGTTTATGGAAATTGAGTTTCTCCTATAATAAGGTAAAACAAAATGAGTTTCTCCTATAATATGGTAAAACAAAATGAGTTTCTCCTATAATATAAAATCAACTGATGCACTAAACATTCATAGAAGATCTCTCGTCTAACTCCTTCAAAGAATAATAAGCATTTATGGAAGAATTTATTCAAACGAGTGAGGACATTAAAATCAAATTAACCAAAGATATATATACCATTGCTAATCTCAGCAAATTTCTTATTAGCTTCTTCATTGCCCGGATTCTTATCAGGATGATACTTCAACGCTAGCTTCCTATAAGCTCTCTTTATCTGCTCGTCCGATGCACCCTTCGACAGTTGAAGTATATCATAATAGCTCTTTCTGCAACACGTTCAAACAAATATACACATATATAAGAAAGATGCAATCAATGCAGGAGGATACGTTATTGTTGGAAGAAGAGAGAGAAAGAATACCCGGCAATGGCGTTGAAAGAATAGCAAAGAGCGCATAAAAGGAACAACAGCTTCGCTCTTCGATGCGCCATGAAGAGACTTAGATCTCTAGGGCTCTGCTATGCTCCCTCGTTGGATCTCTTTGGAATTGCAATCAAAATTGGGGATTAGGGTCTGGGATGAGAAATTAAATGTGGTTAGTGATGTATGATTTCTGATTTATGGAATGGGTTCTCGTATTGTGGTGTTTTCTGAGAGAGCCTGAAAGTGATTCCGCCAAGACTTGACTATGGGAGTCGACAATACGCTTTGCTTTTGCAACGTGTTCCTTTTAAAACTGGCCAATCACCGTGAGCCTTTGCTTGTTCAAGCCAATCCTGCGTCTCCACGTCAGCTTTGCCATTTCACCACCTTCCTTAATTCCTAACGTCTTGGAAATTCTCCTCTTAAGGAATTTTTTTTTTCTGTTTTCTTTATTTTTTGGTCCGGTTAATGATCCATAAGGTCCAATAGTAAAAACAATAAGCCCACATCTAGACCCAATTCTATAGTTTTCAAAAACGATAGGCATTTGCATGGGTCACTATTGTTCTTTTTTTTTTTACATATTCGAAATATAGTTGTTAATTAAATTATTTTTTACATTAAGATAAAAATAAAAAGTTGTTTAATTTATTTTTTAAAAAAGTGAGTATTCAAGTAGAAAAATTCAATTGAATACTAACTTATTAGTTTTTGAAAAATGAGAAAATTGGTTTGAATAAATGAATATCTATGTTAATCTTCGCATTACGCGAGTATTGATTTAAAATACATAGAATTTTAATGTGTTTAAAATTAAAATATAATTTATATTATTATTAAATATTATATAATTAAGAAATAATAATTTGGCATAATCGGTCGTGAAATAAAAACTAATACATATATTAAATGTAAAATCTTATTTAAAAAACTACTAATTGAAAATAATTTAATATCTTTTGAAAGACTTTTATACATTCAATATATTTTTAGTAATTGAAATTCTTCAATTTTATTTTTATAAATAAAACATTTCAAATTTATGTACTCTTCGGTCGTAAAATTTTGATTTAAAATGGACCACGACAAAATCTGGTCTCATCAGATGTATTCATGAAATAATTAACATATGATAATAAATTATTAATTAATTTTTATACATTAAAGGGAATTTTCTTTTTATTAGCTAAAATGCATATGTTATAAGTTATGGTTAACTAAAGCTTTTCCTTACTGGTAATTCAATTATTGTTATCATGTTACCATTTAAATTAAATTTCATTTTTAAATAATGAAATATTTATTTTACTTTATATTATATTTGTAACAATTTCAATTTTTTTAGTATTTTTATAATCCTTTATATTATTTTTTAATTTAATTTTAAAAATTCTCACTTAATTATGCCTTGATCTATTTCGAGCACTTGATTTTATTTTTTTAAAATTATAGTTATACCTTTTTTGAAAAATAAATTATAGTTATACCTTGATCTCAAGAAAAAATACCAGTGTTTACTATGCAATACAAATTTATGGGCAATTTTTTAGTTTTGCCAAATTAAAATACTAATATAGTAACGAGTGTTAAATACAACGAGGGAAGAAATAGAAAAAAGGATTAAATCGGATTACTTATGACTTTTCATATAAATTCTTAATTCTGAAACTCTTTAAAATAATCTTTGCATATGTGAATTATATGGACACATGACTTTTCATAAGTAATTAACATGCTGTATGAGATGGCAAATCAGGACAACTTCCCTTAAAATAGCTGAGACATGACATATTGACCCCCTAACAAAAGTAGGCTAAACACAACCCATCTTGTTTATTAGTGGATTTGCCAATTAACCTACAAAAGGTAGAAAAAATAGAAAAATATACCAACTTATATTTTATGTTATATGCATCTATATATTAAATATAAATTTATTTGGTAATAGTTAAAAATTTCGAAGAATTAGATGAGATGAACTAGGTGATTGAATCCTCCTATCCTGCCTTCAACTTGTCAAGTTGGTAAATGAAATTATTAATCCATCTCATATTTTTGACAAGTTTGGCCAATTGATTTGGTGAGTTTAATTCCTTTTTTCACTCCTAACAAGTCAGATGTATAAAACATTTCACTTAAGTCAATAAATAGAGACTTAAAAAAATATGAATGAAGATCACAAATTCATAAACTACATTTTTTAATTTCATTAAATTTAAATATTAAAGTGATAACAATTATGAAAATGGACCCTCTAGGGCCCAATGTTGATTGTATTTGGCCCAATCAACCACACGGTGATCATGCCAATGTGGATCTACTACTTACCAGGCTGTCAATAACTTATTCAGAACCGAACACGTTAATTGAAATTATGTTCATCATGCACCCATGCATATACTAAATAGAGCACAATGATAAATAAGAGATAAGTTGTTTTCATAAGACAAAATAAATTGAGTCAGAAATAATAAGTGATCTAGATTACTAGAAATATGAAATGAAATAAGAAGGACCACTATATAATATAATGATGGAATTAAACAAGGAGAAGTAGGTTATTTATTGATTATCAGAAGTATATCCCAAGTTATATAGTGTAATAGTATAGAAGCGGGAGGAGCAAAAATGAGAAATTAACGGATAAATGAAATGCATAGGTGGATGAAGGTAGGAGATGGAATGCCCTGTCACGAGGCCGGTGTCCCTCGACGGTGGGAAAGCCACGATTGCATGATTGAGTTACAGTGAACGTGGCACGCTCTACCACCACTGATATATCTCCATCGTTAGCCCCACTTTCTTCTCATCCTCCCTACTCCCTACCACCCTACCCTTTATTAATTAATATCCTGTGTTGCTCTTAAGTATATCACATATGCACCGCGATTCAATACTGGCTAGTTTAATTTGTTGCCTTTGCCTGCACTAATAATATTTGCACTAGTGGCACGTAGTGAAGCTCAAACATGGGTAGAGCTCCTTGTTGTGAGAAAGTGGGATTGAAGAAAGGGAGGTGGACAGAGGAGGAGGATGAAATTTTGGCCAAGTACATTCAGGCCAATGGAGAAGGTTCTTGGAGGGCATTGCCAAAAAAAGCAGGTAACTACGTACCAAAGTTCGTATTTAATTAATTTGCTTAGCTGGGTACCTTTTTGTCGACTGCGATCGATGTCACCCCCATCTCATGGCTTTTCTTCTAAACTAAGGGCTGCTAAGGTGTGGGAAGAGTTGCAGGCTTAGGTGGATTAACTATTTGAGAGCTGATCTCAAACGTGGGAACATTTCTGTTGAGGAGGAAACTACCATCGTCAAATTGCATGCTTCGTTTGGCAACAGGTTAGTGTCCACATGCTCATATATGAGATTCAACGCCCTTTGCTTACTTTAAAAATTAAAAATGTAAGTCAAGATAAAAACAGACATAAAGCGCCAACTTTATTACAAATACAATTCCTAACATTTTTACTTTTAAATATTCTAAAGTATTTTCAAAAATTATATATAACAATTTCTTCTTCATTTTATTTTCAGTATCCTCGATATTAACACACATATACATATATATATATATATATTTATAACTTCGTGCATAAAATTAAGAGACCAGATTTTATTGAAAAAATAACTTTACTGAATCGATCAATTAATGTCATGTTTAATTAGTTTGGAAAGATAATTGAGACGAGAGACTTCAATAACAATTTTTGTAAAAGTTTAAAGAGAAAGGAAAGAAAAGGGTTCCAAAAGAATAAATATTAATAAAATTAATTTTGAAATAAATTGATTAATGTTTGGAATTTTTTTTTATCTAGCTCGAAAAGCAAGTTTAATGTAAAATTTAGTATAATTTTTTTCAATCTAACATGAAAGTTATGCGCTATCACTTTCAATCAAACTATGATTAGAGACAAAATCAATTTTACACAATAATTAATAATCAAATATTTATATTTTTACTAAAATCATGTAGACTGGAAGCAAAACCAATTTTACCATAAGGTGTAAGAAATTATCATGGATAATATGGTCTGAAAGTATAATAAATTAATAATTTTTTTAATAAAGTAAGTTATATCAACTTTTCATGATTTCTTTTGATCTTACATGAATTATAAAGCATGATGAGTTAATTATTTGATGTTAATCATAACAAAATTGTAAGTTAATTTTTTTAATATTATCGATTGTTCTGCCTGTTTATAAAACATTTTTTTTTTAACAAAGCCATATTTTTAACTACAATTTCATCAACTACAACTTTTTGCTTAAGGTGAAAATCGATACTTACTTCCTGATTAAACAGCATAAAAATTACTTAAACTAACAAATTTTGATTATATAATCTACTTTTTATTAATCACAATTTTATGTTTAAGGTAAAAAGTCAACCTTAATTTTTATTAAAAAGTATAAATTACAAATCACATCAACTAACAATTTTGATTTTATTAATCACTTTTTATATTCTAATTATTAACTTGATATTCTATTATATAAATAATGTATAGTTATTTTTCTTTTATTCATTTCTTAACTTTTGAGCAGTAGAATTAACTTAATAATTGAGCATTGAGGGAAGAGATTGAGATAGTACAAAATATGAGAATTTGGGTTGCATCCATTTTTATAATATATCATTTTTAATTAAAAAACAAAAAAGTTTTCTTCCTGATTGATTAAAAAGGTTGGACTAACAATAACAGGGTGAACCCGTAATAATGATGGAGTGAGGGCTTATGCCCAAACTTAAATGCTGTTGCAGTTCTTTTTCATATGCATTAATGCATTAGTGGCTGTTATCACGGAAACACTGGATCAGGTTTCTCTACAGTTGTTCAACAAAGCCACACAATGCAGGCCATAAAACATATTATTTTCATATAATTTTAATTTAAAAAATACATTTTAAACTTTCATGCATCCGTTGGATCACTACTGTGCAAGTTTTTTTTTTTTTTTTTAAACTTCATATATATATATATATATATATTCCAAGCGTGTGGTTTAGCGGTAGGAGTTGATCCACGCTTAAATAAGGTCAGGGGTTCGAATCATGCCTTGTGTATGCAGCTGCATTAAATCTTGGGACCAGCTATCCCACCTTTTGAGGTGCTAAATTAGTCACTACTATCGACCTTGGATACTCCAAGGACGAACCAAATAAAAAAAAATTTATATATATAATTATCAAATAAATTCTTATATATTAAATATAATATTTATTTATATATAATTTATTATAAATTTTAATTCATAATTAAATATTAATCTATATGTATTGTACAAATTAAAATACTATTTACTATATATTTAATGTCAAGAGTGAATATATATATATATATATATATATATATTAAAATTTAAAAACAAATTAATATAAAAATACAAATCTTTAACAACCTTTGACATGAAAATAATAAGGATTAAAAGCACCTTTTCTCAAAATTCAAAATTGTTTGTATTATTTTTAATTAAATAACATTTCTTACAATATTTTATATAAGAAACAAATAACAACTAATATCTCATTAATTTAAGTATAATTGTGGTTGAATTGCTTCTTAATAAGCTATTGGATTGGCATCTCCCAAATGAAAATAATAATAATAATAATAATAATAATAAATAAATAAATAAAAAATGATGGTGGAGTTCATGAAGAAGTGGAAGATTTGCTTCTCCTCTCCTTCACCACGCATAGGATCAACTTCTTGATGACTTGCACCGATTGAATGAAGCTTGGATTGATATAGAAGACGAATTAGGAATGCCTAAACTAGGGATGGAAGCATCCTAGCTTAAGACACAAAGGATTGCTCACTTCAATGGTAGAAAACAAGTAGGGTTCCCTAAGGCTAGAAGAAAGCTCACGGTGGCTCTTGAGAAGAATTGGCTAAAAAATGTTCAGAATTCTTATTCATCAATAATGTTTACAATAATGAAGGATTCAAGTATATAAAGCCACGGATCAAGGAGCCAACCCATGTGCACTAAAAGTGGCGCCAATTTTGAATTCAAATTTGAATTTGAATTCAAATTGGACATCCACTTATTCTAAGCCATGTGCAGCCCTAGATTCTTAATTGCATTTAGAGGTAATTTAGGGTTCATTTGAATGTACACATGTGCAGTCACCTTTAGCACAAAACATGTGACCCAAATGAAACTCTAATTACTCCTAAATGTAATTAACATTCTATGATTCATGCTTTAATACTTATTCTTTCTAAATTTCTATTCTAATAACCCAAATACAATGGCCAAACAAATATAATAGATGCTTCCATTATATTTGTGTCTTAAGCTAGAATGCTTCCATCTCTAGTTTAAGACTTAAAAAGCAATAATTATAAATTTTAGAATAATAATGATGGTAGAATATATTACCTTGATATATTTATATTTTTAATATAGATGTTATCATTTAGACATAAACAGAAGGTAAAGAATAAAAAGAAAAGGACGTGGTGGCACATAATGATATGTATATAGTTGTTGATTTGGTAACTTGTCAGGTGGTCGTTGATAGCAAGTCACTTGGCTGGAAGAACAGACAACGAGATAAAAAACTATTGGAACTCTCACTTGAGCAGAAAAATCTACAGCTTCCGCGGCGGGACAAGTAATAAAGACTTCATCACCGGTACCCTACCCCCCAGCCGGAAACGTGGTAGGACCAGTCGATGGGCCATGAAGAAGAACAAATCCTATGCCCACAAACAAATTCACTCTACTCATAACAACCAACCACTTGAGACCCACAATTTCCCCACCAATATTAGTGCCCATCACCAACAAAATCTTGCAACTCAAGAACAAAACCTTTGTGAGGAAGCTGTACATCTTGTTAATGATATCATGATGGACAATTGCTGGAAGGAACCAAGTGGGGCTTTGGCCTTTTTTGGTAGCAATGATGTGGTTCGGAATATTCAAAGTGGTGACGACACGTGTGCCAACAAAATTATTGGGGAGTTACGTTCTTCCTCCTCCGTGGCTTCGGGCTTGGACGATGATAACTGGGACTGGGAAAGCATGGTGCACTTCGATCATGAAGACCTCCTCACTTGGTTGTGTGAAGATGAAGACCGAGAAACGGATTTTCAGAGCTTTCGAGAGATTGATCCATAGAAACAAAATGCTATGCTTCATTGCTTTCTCTCTTCAACCTGATGTATAATCACTTTTCTTTTAGGTGTTAAGGACCACATATATATTCTCTGTCATTTTTCTTCCCCTTCATGATCATTTATGGATGTAAAAACCAGAGTAAATTACGATTAGTGCTGTTTGAATAATCTTTTCTGCAAGTATTTCTAAAAACAATTACACTATCATAATTAATTTTTTAACGTTTATGATAACTCTTTTACAATGAGTTACGATATATAATAATTTTAAAAATAATTAAGGGAGAGTTAATGTAATATATAATATGTTTTTTTAATATTTTTTTTAAATAATTGAAGAAGTTACCTTAAGGATAGAAAATTTAGAAGGTATTTATGTAATTTTATAAAATCTTGAGTGACAGTATAGTTCGTTTTTTTTTTTTTGAATGGTATATATAGTTCACTCTGAAGACTATGAGGGAAATCATTTTGTTTTAGGGTACGTAGCTAGCATGTAAACTTCACATGTGTGCTTCTGCGTTAATATTTTTAGTATCGTAAATAAAGTCAAACATCTTAAGTTCATTCGTAATTGAACCCAAATTTTACCTAACAATCATAATCTTACAAAATATAACTAATGGTCATTTTAAATATGAGAGGGGTTATAATTATACCGGTGTAACTTTTACCAAGTGTTACACTATTCAATAGCTTTATATTAAATGTGAATTTTGTAAGTTAAAAAGTTCAATTGCAAGTTAATATACATTTATACGTGTATATAAAATTTTGTTAAAATTCAAAAACAATTTGAAGGTGATCAAATTGTTCATATTTTAGTGTATTTTGAAATGAATATATTATGTCAATTTTATTTTATAAAAATAAAGTATTAAATCATCTTAGACTAATATAAAATTTTGTATATATGATCTAAGAGACATGAACTTACAATTTAACGGTTGGATTTACAAAATTCGCATTTAATATAAAGTTATTGAACAGTGTAACACTTAATAAAAGTTACACCGGTGTTATTATAATTCTCCTCTTTAAATATATCTGTTGCATAAATTTTGTTAATAATTTTGTATTGATCATTGTTCAAACTAAATAATTAAATTTAAAATTAATATTTTTTTTAAGATTAATACTATCTACAGAAAAATTAAGGATGTTAATAACTTATTAGTAAATAAAATAAAATGGTTGTAAAAAAAATATAATTAAAATGAATCGATTTTAATATTTACTATATGAACAATTTTACTTTCAAAATTAAAATTAAATAAAAAAAAACTCTTCTATTTATTTAATAAACTACTTCACTTTAAAGTTTACTATTAAACTGCCAATTACCATGTTATCAAGGTAGGCAACGTTGCAAATTTAATGTAATTACTAAAATATTATTTGATGATAAATTTGTACATTTTTTATTACACTTAATATTGATTAAAAAATTGAGTTATTATTCAAAATGAGATACAAGTTAACGTAGATTTATATATCTTGTTTCACTTACAAAAATGACACAACTAATTAAGTCTTTTCACCCCTATTAATTATGATTGAGATTGAAATTGGTTTCTTTTGTATTTTATATATGAATTTGTGCAAGAAATAAAATAAATGATTTGTAATTTTGTTAAAAATCTTTAAAAAAAAAATTGACTTTACCTTATATGAAGTTGTACCTTGTTTTAATCTAAACTTTTCATTATTACCAAAAAAAAGTTATATCTTGTATCGTTTCTTAATTTATTCTCTCATAAAGTCTTTAATCATCACAATTAAAAGTAATTTATTTATTAAGACAATGAGACTATGTTAGTATAATTATATCAAAAATTATATATTTATTATTGTTCTAAATCTATGTATAAAAATCTTAAACTATAGTTAACAACATTAACTTTTCTAATGACTAATTTTTTGTCAAAAAAATTGAATTGATCACTTTTAGTAAAGTATTTTTTTTTAACCTCTTTTCATTCAAAGAAACTCAAATTGAAGACCTTACTCAACATTAAGTTGGTTGGAAATGGGGGGATGGAGAGATACTTGTATAAAATTTTGCTGTTTAATTACTTCAATTTTTTAGAAGTGGAAGAATATATATTTAAAATATTTTGTATATAATATGTAAAATATTATTATTTATATTTCATAAAATCAGAATTATAAAGAAACATAAAGGCAATATTAGATTTTAAAATCTCTTCTATCCACGTGAATTAAACAAGAAGAATATTAAGCATTAAAAAAATATGAAAGCATAAAAAAAAAAAGTTATTTCTGCTTTACTAAAATATCTTTAATCCCCTTCTTTAAACTAAATAGAACTTCTAACTCTTTCCTTTCTCTCTTCTTAATTTCCTCCTCTAAACAGGTAAAAAAGACACAAATAAATCCTAAAAAAAACCAAGTAAATCTATCTATATTAATATTGATAATAAAAATAAAATACAAGTATAGTCTCTATAAGCTGCATTGCACTTTTTTTTTCCCCTAAAGTACTTACTACGTGTAATTGCATTTTTAGCTAGAATTCAGATTTGAAACAAAGAGAAGAATAAACTCATTATAACTTGTGGCATGAGCATCATATATCTCCAATAATTAATCAATGGCTAAACAAAGAAAGCTTAATATATAATATTACCCAAAAAAAGCAAGCTTAATATTAATTTATATTCAGGATAAACACTTTAAAATATGGTATTTTTAAATTAACGAAAGTAATTTATTAATATTTCTATATTGTATTTTCCTTTTCTTTTAAAATTTTAAATATAAATTAATTATTAAATTATTGTAATGAATTTTATGTATCATTTTCTTTAAATTAAACTAAATAGTGAAGTGTAATTAAGCTTTTCACTAAAGTAAACACATAGATATACAAAGAGACTCTTGTGAGAATACTCAATTATTGTGAGAAATTATAAATATATATTATTAGATTATTTAATATTACATTAAAGATAAATATATTCATATTCGGTTAAAGTTATTGAAAAAATCGTAAATTTTATGTGACTTATTCCAGAAAATATTCCATGATGTTGAGGTTTTGTTTTCTGGCATTAGTTGTTGATAAGCCTCAGATGTGGTTGATGAAGCGGCCCTTTACCTCAGATGTTTATGGCAAAAGTATATATGTAGTTATACTATTGCATGCTTTTATCTATCCGTTTCCTTTTTATCCAAATGAAAATCATAATTCATGGCATTGATTCAAAGGACGCAATGCACTCCCATTACATGACCGCAACCGCACTGAATGGACTAGGCGTGGCAAAATGGTTGAATCTGATGTGTGGTAAACCCACGTTTCTCTGAATAGTTGTGGTGAATACATGAATTGCCACGGTTCAATGTATGCGATTATGACATATATCTTCCCTACAAGAATCAAGTTGACATGTTTATGAGGGGCTATGATTAGATATGAGCAAACATCCTTCTCCGTCGTATTATATAGGTTTATGTTTTATATGAGACAATCCCGCTTGTGATGTGATGGATCTTTTGGCTCATTCATAGCCATAGGGCGTGGAAAATGGAAATGCCAAGCCAAGATAAGGGTTTAACTAGCTTAAATTGACAACTAGATTCTCTAAAATAGTAAGAATAATAATGTAAATAATCATAATCGTTGAAAAAATCATTATTTAATACTTGAGTACATTTATAATTTGTCATATATACATATATAACATTTTCAGTTTTTTTTTAATAATTGAGATTATTTATTTTGTTCTTAAGAGTGAGATTTTTATTTAATATAATATTTATATTAAATTTATTTATCTTAAAATATATGCAATTTAAAATATATTTTAATTGCATGTGTATATTTCTTTAATTATATCATTTAACTATATATATAATATAAGATTAGTATATTGTGTCAATAAGTCAAGTAAATTCGCAATGTAATTTAAATGTTGTTAAATTGGATTTGAATGCACAAAATTGGCTCTATCAAAATTTTGGATCAAGTAAAGAGAAGAATAAACTCATTATAACTTGTGGCATGAGCATCATATATCTCCAATAATTAATCAATGGCTAAACAAAGAAAGCTTAATATATAATATTACCCAAAAAAAGCAAGCTTAATATTAATTTATATTCAGGATAAACACTTTAAAATATGGTATTTTTAAATTAACGAAAGTAATTTATTAATATTTCTATATTGTATTTTCCTTTTCTTTTAAAATTTTAAATATAAATTAATTATTAAATTATTGTAATGAATTTTATGTATCATTTTCTTTAAATTAAACTAAATAGTGAAGTGTAATTAAGCTTTTCACTAAAGTAAACACATAGATATACAAAGAGACTCTTGTGAGAATACTCAATTATTGTGAGAAATTATAAATATATATTATTAGATTAGATCAAATTGAATGATTGAGAGGAAAAGGAAAATATTCATGACTTTTTTTGAAGTAATCATGTAATTATAAACTAATTTATAATCTTGATATATATATGTTATATAATGATGAAAGAGTGGAATGCAACGCCTTAACTTCATTGCCGGATAGCATAGGCAACCTCACATCACTTCGTAAACTAGTGATTTGTGAATGCAAAAGGTTGGCTTCACTGCCCAAAGGAATAGAAAATCTCAAGTCTTTAGATACCTTGATCATTACCGACTGTCCTCGGTTATTGCCAAGGTGTCAAAGGAATAGCATATAATCATAATTTAATTTAAGAGGTAAAACATATAATCATAATTATAACATATAATCCAATCTCTCAGTAGCATTGAAATTTTGAAAACCATGATAACCAGACATTTTACTACTAAACAGAATGAAACCAACAAAATCAAATATAGGTTTCTAATCAACAAAAAAAAAAACATAAAACTATAAGTTGTATGTTCAAATATGTAGGTTCTCCCATGAACAACAAAATCAAAAAATTAATACATCTTCAATCATCCAAATGAATAACACTTGAAGGTCCCACTTCATCTTGAGAGGTTATCTCTACAAAAAAAATAAAATATTCTATCATTTTCAAAAATTTAAAATATAAACTAAAAAATATATAGATTTTTAATATAGACTCACCTTGCTCAAATTTATCAAGCTCTTTAGGATCCTCATCAAAAAGTATAGAGAAAGGTGTTCCTTTCAACCAATCTTGGGTGCAAACAAGTACTTCCACTATTTTAGGCGTTAGGCAACTACGATAAGGACTAACCACCCTTCCGCCTGTGCTGAATGCACTTTCTGATGCTACAGTAGAGATGGGAATGGCCAACACCTCGCGAGCCATGTTTGCAAGGATAGGAAATCTAGTTGAGTTGACTTTCCACCAATGTAAAACATCAAGCTCAACTAACTTTGTATAAGGTTCAGGATCTTCTCTCAAATATTTATCAAGCTCTGATATATAATCAAATCTACGTCCAGTAGCTCTTAGGTAGAAACTCATGCCATGAGGATCATCATCTTCATCATCTAGTTGTGATTCTTGTTGGCTACTTTGAGAACCCTCCTCAACACCTTGATATTGTTCATAAAGTGTTTTCAAAGATGACAACAATTTTGATTTCAATTGACTAGCCATATCAGATTCAAATATATAGTCAATGAAGTAATTAACAAAATCCAACTTACTCCTAGGATCAAGCACAACAGCAATCAATAATAAGATATTAATTCCATTAGGATTTCCCCAATATTTGTCATACTTTCCCTTCATCCTCAATGCCATCAACCTTATGCTCACATCACTACTCTCAGAATATTGTCGAATCTTTTTACCAATTCCAAACACCTCCTTCATGTACATATGACTGGTGACATATGAAGTACCAGAAATGCGCATGGTAGAGTCATAGAACATCTTTAAAAATGGTAGAACAGACCTCGCATATTCCCAATCCTCTTCTAGTGGCACACTACCATTACCTTTGGCCATTTCAACACCAAATTTCTTGTCTTGCATATCTAGCAAGACAAAGGCATCTTTGTACTTCAAGCTTGCCTCTAACATTAAGTAAGTTGAATTCCACCTGGTTTCAACATCAAGGCAAACAATACCTTTGTAAGAAATTCCCTCTTGCTCAACACAAGCCTTGAATCTAGCAAATCTAGCTGGAGAAGACTTCACATATTTAACTGCATTTCGAATTTTCAAAATTGAATCTTTGATCTCTTTTAAACCATCCTTCACAATCAAACTCAATATATGTGCACAACAGCGCATATGGACATATTCTCCCTTTAAGACAAGACAATTCCATGATAACATCCTCCTTTTAAGATATTGAACCCCAACATCATTTGCTGTAGCATTATCCACAGTGATACTAAGGACCCGCTTCAACTCCCAATTATTCAAACAAGCCTCAACATGTTTAGCAATGAGCTCTCCTGAATGTCCTGTTGTTTGAGAAAAATTCAAAATTTTCTTTTGAAGCTTCCAGTCATTGTCAATAAAGTGCGCTGTTAAACTCATATAGTTTAGATTTTGGATTGAAGTCCATGTGTCTGTAGTTAAGCAAACCCTCCCACATTGTTTTGACAGAAAAAATTTTAACTTTGCTTTTTCTTCTTCATAGAGTTCCCACATTTCACGCCTCAATGTGGTGCGGGATGGGACTTCAAATCGTGGTTGCAAGGACCATACAAAGTCACGAAAGTCATCATCCTCCACAAATCGAAAAGGAAGTTCAGATTTCACAAACATCTTCACCAACTTCATTCGAGATGCATTTTGGTCAAATTTAGAAATAGTTGGCGAAGGGCCAACACTAACCCCTTCTGTAGTTGATGATGAAAGTTTTTGCCTCTTGAATACTTCTCTATTAGGATTTTCTTTGCATCTCATCAAATGATTCCTCATGCCACTTGTCCCAGCCAAATATTTAATCAAATCTCCACAGTAATTGCATTTAGCCTTCTTCTCAGAATAAGGTTTTTGTTTAGTAAAATGTTCCCACATGTTTGACCGACCTTTACTTTGCCCAGTCGATGATGAATCAATACAAGGGGGTACATCATTAATTCTAGAAACATCTGGTGTGAGAGTTTCTATGGTGTTTGGCAATGTAAATTCCATCTGATAACAAAAAACAAGGATGCAAGAAAAATATATAGTTTATATAGGCTGGGATCAAGACAGCTTGTATACAAAATTAATCATTTTAGGATGGATTTATATAGATATTATTCCTTCCTGGGCTTTTATATAGTTTCCTTTGCGGTAATTTTATCAATAATGCATACAACACCTAAAATTTTGCTGTTTAATTACTTCAATTTTTTAGAAGTGGAAGAATATATATTTAAAATATTTTGTATATAATATGTAAAATATTATTATTTATATTTCATAAAATCAGAATTATAAAGAAACATAAAGGCAATATTAGATTTTAAAATCTCTTCTATCCACGTGAATTAAACAAGAAGAATATTAAGCATTAAAAAAATATGAAAGCATAAAAAAAAAGTTATTTCTGCTTTACTAAAATATCTTTAATCCCCTTCTTTAAACTAAATAGAACTTCTAACTCTTTCCTTTCTCTCTTCTTAATTTCCTCCTCTAAACAGGTAAAAAAGACACAAATAAATCCTAAAAAAAACCAAGTAAATCTATCTATATTAATATTGATAAAAAAAATAAAAAAAAATACAAGTATAGTCTCTATAAGCTGCATTGCACTTTTTTTTCCCCTAAAGTACTTACTAAGTGTAATTGCATTTTTAGCTAGAATTCAGATTTGAAACCATATACCACTGTTCAAGCTGAAATAATATGACACTATTTAATCTACTGTTAGGGTAAAATAAAGTAAAAAAAAAAAAGGTTATTAATTTTGGTTACTTAAATTCCCAAATAATACATGCAATAGAAACCCCAAGAATTTGTCTAAATATAAGAGTCATTAATGGAGACCTTACACCAAAGCACTGCTGACCCAATTTTTGCGTGTACAAAACATAAAAAGCTATGCAGTTTGTTCCTCGTATATAAACTTGTTTAATGTCAGCAACATTTTTGGTCAGCGCTTTTCAATCTCCCCACAGGGGAGGGGGTGAGATTTCTCCTTAAATACTCATTCCTTCCCTCCTCTCATTCTCTCAATTTATGGAAAAACAAGCTGAATGCGCCGTCGCCAACATCCCAAACATAACAACAATAAAACCTCTTCACCATGAAAAGCGGAAGAGAGGTGCGAAGCG